GCCACAAATGCTTGTCAATTTTATAATAAATTGTAGTCTACTTAAAGAATTTTTACAAAAATATTCGATTCTGTTAGATTATGTTAGTAATGTGAAAATTTGCATAAATTTAAAAAAAAATCGACTGTTATGTCAACATACTATTAATAAAAGTAATAAAACTCAGTGAAGATGCTATTAGATTGTGAGATTTATAAAATTTGAGAAATGTAAATTATAAGCAATATACCATAATCTAAGCAACATTATATTTTTTATAGTCAGACAAATTATAAAAATGTTATAAAAGCAATAATGAAACCTAAGTTTGGTCTACGAATTCATGCAATTACACATCCCTATAGTTCTAATTTAAGAAATGAGGCAAAAAAGTATTTTTAGACCATGGTAATTTTGATCATTGCTCATTTTAAGAAACATTTAAGAAGTCTAAATTTGCATGTGGGTTCCTTAGCAAAGGAGACACCAAGAGTTTATCTCATGCTACTTAAAAAGTGTTTTTTTTTCCTTTGGGGGGGGGAAACTGGAGTTTATAATATGCAGAGTTTTTTTAAAAAATATTTTTAATTTTGTGCTTTACTAATATGAAAGTAACTTTAAGGAAAACATGCAATTTATCCCTCCTGCTATAAAAGCTCTGATACCTACCAAATTCGTTAAAGTTATGTGGACAGAAATGGCGGCATGTGTTTCAGCTCAGTATTTAGGGTAATTATAAATAACAAGGTTATCATAATTTTTCATTTATCGCGCCAAAAAGGACTAATACTAAAGTATCGAAAGACTCACTCTCGTATCGAGATCTTGTCGCACGGAAGGAGGATACGGCCTAGTATATGCCACTACAGTACTCAAAATGCTACATGAAAGATGACTGTATACAGAGTCTTAGCTAGGGATTTCAGCGCCCAGGGACAACTGAAGATTTCGCGCCCCCTACTGCTTGCCAAGGATGGAAAACATTTAATTCTAAAATGTCGTAACATCAGTTTGGCGCCCCTTGGATTCTGCGCCCAGGGACAGATCCCCCCTTGCCCCTCTCTAGCTACGCCCCTGACTGTATACTAAAGGTTCGGAAATGTACATCTTGGCTCCAAGAATTGTTTAGTTCTCTCGTTTCTTCAGAACAGTTTCCAAGTAGTGCTAGTCTTTGTCACTGAAGAGATCTGCCACATTCTTATCTCAAAACGCCACAGCATGGACCTGTATAGATGATTCAATAGAAGTACTCTTTCTGTGTTCTTTTTCTGTCCAGGTGAAACTGGACTTCCGCCTGTTCCCGGTTGAGGAAAAGCTTTCACTTTTTCAGACGGGTGTTCTGCTTTATCCCCCTCACCTACATATAGTTTTGTGGAAGCAAGCTCATCCTTTAGCTTGTCGTCATCGTCTACGAATGCATCAGCAGCACACGGACGTCTTTAAGCTGAATTAAAGGTCTTTTAAATGACTTGAGATCTCACTTTCTGGATCCATCTGATGGCCTATAGTGATAATTCATGAATCTAACTTCTAGAAAGAACATTTTGGTGAAGTTAATAAAAAAAAAAACCTTTATTTCTCCTCCAGCAATTAGATAGTCCTCTTGAAGAAATCGAATAATAAAAATGAAGGCATTTACAAACAAAAATCAACATATAGAACATAAAAACGCACCAACAGTTTGAAACTTTAAGATTGGCACAAAGTTGAGTTCGTATGTGGGGGGTTTGCATAAATATTCTGTTTTTTTTTATATGGTTAGGTAAATTATTTTAATATGGTACATATATGTTATCAGCTGAAGGAGAAGGATCCCTTCGAGGGAAATTTTAATGAGAGAAACTGATTCGTATTCAAATTACACATGGCCAAATTCACGTAACCCAAACATGCAGCCAGTTCCCCAAGTATAAAACTCCGGACAAACTCTCAGCTTTCGACGATGGTTTTAAATTTCTCGGCTATTAATGGAACTTCTGTTACATGATTTCCATTCTTCGTGCATAAATCTGACAGCTTCCATTTACAGATCCTCAGGGCTTTCTGTATCTCAGGATATCGGATGCCATAGATGAAGTACTGCATGGATAGGATTTGTCTTTCTTCTATTGGGAAGCCCGAAAAGCTAGATGAGGCAGATTTTCAACATCTGTGGCGAGCTCATCGAGTGTTTCCGTAGTTCCTTCTGTTGGCGAGATTTTAATTGAAGCCTTCTAGAGTCTTTTAAACTCTTTTTACCAAACGCAGCTCCATAATGCGCCGGACATAGCTTCGAAATCTAGCCTCTGATTTTCAGAAAGAGTATGAAAGATATCCGCTGCGTATTCTCTCAAAGAATTGCGGGATATTAGGATTTTAGCTTAGGAATCATATCAGTTTGCGTTTGCCACTATAGAGAACAGCGTCCTGTGAACTTGCCAGAAAGACTTTCAGTCGTATGCGTATAGCTTTAGACAGAGTTGAAATGGCATGTGTTCGAATTTAAATGTGTTAGAATTTTGAACAGCGGTCATTAAGGACTTTTTTAAACTGCCAACTTCCTTAGCGACAGCAGCAGAAACTCTGTTTTCGATTTTGTTGTTCAACAGCAGAAACACTTACTTTAAGTTCTCCGACTTTATTATTATCAACCGTGTCTATTCTGACTTCCATAGCCTCGAATTTGATTTTTATTATGGCAGTAGTTCATTTCGTCTTGACCTGGTTTCATCTCTTCTGTAACGGCCGGCTTTCATATCTCCTTTGAAGGCAGAGTCGTAGCTAGGGCTTTCAGCGCCCAGGGACAACTGAAGATTTCGCGCCCCCTATTGCTTGCCAAGGATGGAAAACATTTAATTCTAAAACGTCGTAACATCAGTTTAGCGGCCCTTGGATTCTGCGCGCGGGGACAGATGCCCCCCCTTGCCCCCCCTCTAGCTACGCCCCTGTTTGAAGGCAACAAGGTCTGCCACGACCTGTCTTAGTTGCTCTCCATCTCTTTTGTCATGGGCATTCAGCCCCATTTCTGATACCCAAAATGTTTGCATGCTTACGGGTTCGTAATACACTGGCGAACAAAATTAAGAGATAGAAAACATTTTCTCACATTTGTGTAAAAATACCACACAAAAACCTAGACAGTTGGTTGCCATATAATGTCACTGTGGTGCTGTCATCGCTGAGATGAGATTCTGTATTTCTCTGGCCTTCGGCCGATGCTATTCGCACCGTTGGTGCGATTAGCCGCTTAAGCTATTCGCACCAACATTAGCCACGCTGCGCATTGAGTTGTCAGATCCGTCATTTGAACCCAAGCGAAAAGAAAGGAAAAAGGCGGGTTTCTACCTTGGGCGTAGTTTATCATTTTTTAAGCGTTGGCGACTTTCAAAAGTTTAGAAAGGAAAATGGGTTCCTTTTTTTATAGAATGAAGGAACACATTTCCTTTTATTAAAGTATATATAAAAAAATCTGATGTGTACACCACATGACTTCCTTGTAGTATAAAAGTAGGTATAAAAGTCTGTGTTCAGCTGCTCAGAGCATTCACTCTGCAAAACAGTAGTGATTTTTATTGACTTTCTTGAATAATCTTGTTTTTAGGTGACAGACAGACAAAGTAGACAGATGTCTTTTGTTGCACCCGCTAAGTCTTTCTGTACCGATGGGCGAAAAATCAAGCATAGGTGCGAAGGAAAGGTATATAGAAAGGGGAGCAATTTCGTATTTCAGAGGAGAGTAAGAAGAAACTTCGTATATTTTATACGAGTTCGAAAGGCCAGGAAGAAAAGGTGGGACAAAATAAAGTAAAAAATAAATGGCCCAAAAGTAATGGAGAGGGAAAAAAAATATATTTATAATTAAAAAAAAAAGGGCCTATAGAAAGAAAAGGAAAGGAAGTAAGAGAATTTTGTTTTAAAAAAAAAAAAAAAAAAAAAACCACGATTGTGTTCATGAGTGTAGTCAAATGAAGTTGTTATCATTTACATTAAATAGAGTCTTCCAGGTGTGTGTAATGAGTGTGTTTTGTAAAGCTGAATAGATGTGAAGATGGGGGAAAATTAATAGTAAAATATAAATATTGTGGGTCCAGTCACATAACAGTCTAGTTTAGAAGCTAACTTTTGCTATAACAGGGAAACTAAAATTTAAAAATTTTAAATTAAACTTTTATTTTCTAACATGGGAAACAATATGTTAGCCTCTACCTTGATTTTAGGTGAAATGAGTACACATCATCGCTTAGACCGAAGTTATGAGATGTAAAATCGTTGGTAAGCTTGGGGCAGGGCAGTTCCAAGATCAGGTTGCAAGAGCACTGGATGTAGCAAAAAGTGTCATGTCTAATTTGTGGAATCAGTTTAAAAACAGCACGGGAAATGGTGGTTGGACTGTAATAGTACATTTCTGTAATTAAAGATGAATTATTCCCTTTACAGCTTTTAAGGGAAATACAAAGTTTATTATATGAATATTTCAAATTTATTTTTTAACAAATGTATTGGAAATGAAACTGTATTTTAGAAAATTGCGTCTTTAAAAGTAAATAATTTTAATTTTCTTTGATGAACAGATTCATGCAAATTAGAAAAATAAAATGCGATTTATTTTAAGAGGCTCTATTTTCGGACAAAACAGAATAATTCTTAAATAGCAAACCCTATTTAATACTGAGGGAAGGTTCTTTGTGTTCCTACTCAGTAAGTAAATATTCGTTTTTTTTTTTTTTTTTTTTTTTTTTTTTTTTTTTTTTTTTTCGTCTCTAATTTTGATAGCAAAGACAAATATCTTAAAATGCAATTAAATAAAGCGTTTTGCAAAAATAGATTTAGTGAACAAAGAGAAAAAAAATTGTACAACAATCAGTAAATTATCATCTCGGTATTAGCTTTGCAACAATTACCTCCAAAGGTAAAATAACAATGCTCATTGTTAGAAATACGTAACAATGTATAATTTGTAACATTATTACGTATTTCTAACAATGTATATACGTAACAATTTAAGATATTTCAGTTCTGACAAAATAATTACATATCTCGAAATGGATGTTGTGAAGTCTTACTCCGAAATCTTTAAGCAAGGGATCTGCTTTGATCTGGACAAATTATTTGATTGCTGCCTTCGAAGTGAAGATGGACTTGAATTTGGTGCACATCGTGTCATCCTAGCTAGCCGCTGTGATTATTTTCGAGGTATCTTTAGTGGCAACTTTGGAACAGAAACCAAAGTCAATCTTTCAGGAATTAGCGGAAGCATTTTGTGCGAAATTCTTCGCTTTCTATATACTGGAAGCCTCACCTTGAATGAAGACAACATTATTGATATCATCGTAAGTGCAGATTACTTTTTAATTGACAAATTACTGAATAAATGCCGAATCTATGCTCTCAAACATATAAATGTTAACAACTGTCTGATGTATTTCGAGGTAGCTTGGTTTGTAGAAAGATTTTCGTTTTTGACTGAATGCTTCAGATTCATTCAGACTCATTTCGAATCTGTGGTCAGTAGTCACGATTCTAATTTCGCAGATCTCCCTATAAGCTTCGTGAAGAAATTTCTAAATCTAAATGGAGTCACAGAAGATGTCATATGGATGGCTGCTGTGACATGGCTGAAGAAAGATCCAGTTGGGAGACAACAAGTATTACCCGAACTTCTGGCATGCCTTTGTTTGCAGAACTTAGATGAACCCTTGGCAACTGAAATACTCGAAAACCCTTTACTTAAAGAATACTTATTAAACAGCATATGCTGCAAGAATTATGAGACAAATCTCTCCACGGAATTTCCAAACAAGGCTAAAAATAATTATAATTCTGAAAAACTGAAAAGCTTAGTAGTAAAATCAAAAATTATATATGGCTTTGATCTGCAAACCTCTCAGACTCGTTTACCTAAGAACTTGTTTCTTCTCTTTTCGGAATCACAATTCTCATTCCAGAAGAAATTCTACATAACATTTGATGAACTGCATGATATATGGCAAGAAATTGATGAAACTCCTATATGGCCGCAAGCTCTTGTTCCCATTGGCAGTAGAGTTTATATGTTTGATAAATTTGAAAATAAAATTCTAGCTTTAAATCTGGAGGACAAATCCTGGACACAGCTGAACCCCATGAATATACCACGTAACGAATACAGTGTTGTGGATATAGGATTGAGCATCTATGTACTGGGAGGAACTACCTTCTCTTCGCACGTACATACATCTTTGGTAGAAAAATATAATTATCTAACCGGACTTTGGGAAGTTGTCAGTTCCATGAATCACATGAATTGTGGATTTGCCATTGGAGCTGAAAATGCAATTTATGCTGTTGGTGTTATGCAAAACGATAGAGGCTTTGAAATGATTGCACAGGTTTACGACCCACAGCAGGATACCTGGTCATTGATAAATGCGCCTAATATATACCGAAATAATTTCGCTCTTGTTTCTCTTCGGGGTAAAATATACATCCTGGGTGGAACTAATAATGGCGAATATTTGAGATCCGTAGAAGAATACGATATTGAAGGGGACACTTGGAAGCCTTTCGCGGACTTACCTTTGCCTTATTACTCTCCGAAAGCTACAATCTTCAAAGATATGATATTAGTTTATGATGCTGTTTCGAAAGGGAATTATTCACCTTACCCCCCTTCTTATTGGGATAAAAAATCAAAAAATTGGCAATTATGGGATTTAGTTTCTCTTACGATGTACAAATTTTGCACCATAAAGGACGAAGATACCATCAAAAACTTTGTGAGGAAGAATAATGATTCAGGCATAAAATGGAAGAAAAGTCACTTTGCTAATTAATTCTCTGGTATTAAGTCATTTTGAAACAAAATAGCTTTATTCATTCCAAAATATAATCTTGAGAAAAATTTGAATAAAATTTCAACTTTACGTATTTTCATGTTTTGTTAATATTCTGCATATTAAAAACATGTTCAAAAATTTAAACGACAAAAAATTCTTTCACTTTTTGTAATGTTTCTGTAGTGTTTAAATCCTAACTTGCTTTCAGATTTTACCTGATTTCAGCAGTCTTCTTTTATAACGTGCAAATTTTAAAAATTCATGTGGTTTATTTAAATTTTTAATTTTTTTCTTTTTAAAATATACTATTCACAGAAAAGAAAAATGTTACAGGTTCATAGAGTCTTTAATTAAAATAAAAACGTTTGTGTTTGATATAGTAAATTTTAAGTAACTTAGTCTACATGTAATGCTCACCAGGAGAAAAGTACTGCACTCCATTTTGGGAAGAACTGAACTCCAGACTATTTTATGAATTTGTGATAAAAAAGTAAGGAATTTATTCATACAAATATAATTCAATTCTGTAAACATTGCATAATATAATTACTCATATAATATCGCACTAGCAGAAGGAAGACACACGGACATGAACTATGAGTTCAGATAGAGGTTTAAATGATAAATAATGATTTTTTTAGAGGGAAAAATACAATAAAAATATTGGATGGAAAAGAAGTTCTATTCTCTACAGCGATCCACAACATACACAGCAATAAAATTTTCAGTGCTACTCGCATATTCACAAAGCCTACAGACCGTTTCTGGTGCGGTTTCCTAGGAAACGGCGTTCACCAAAATCCTCATCTCCTTTCTTCTTGCGTAAAGCAAGTTTATTAAAAATTGCTACGTTTTGGTCCAATTAGTTAATACAGAAGCTTGTGCTTGGCGACTTTTACTTCATCGAATTTGCTATTTGTTTATTAAAAAGCGTTAATGTAGAAAAGCGCGGATTGGAATAAAATATAATTTTAGTTATACTTACTTCATGATGAAAGTAAAAAGAATAGGTATCCGACGCCCTTAAATGTTTAGTGAATGCTTTCATTTGGTTTATTTTTCGTTTTAATTTATTTTACTATATTTCCCCGCGATGTTCAGAAATGTTTAAACCTAGCATAACACTTGTTTATGTGCTTTTTTCGTTATACAATTCCGACCGTAGCCATATTCAATTTATACGATGTAAATGCATTGCTAACTCAGGCTTCTAAGCAACATATATAACTATCATAAGCGTAAAAACGCATGATGGTAAGATTTAGCGATTAAACATTTCGATTATGATGTGAGAGGCTTCCTAAGAAATATAAAATACATTGTGATATTACGAACAGGTTTACTAAACATGTATCAGACATTTCTTATAACAATTCTCTGATATCATGATATCCATCTTTTGACACTTCTGAGTACTTTCATAATATATTATGGTACAATAATCTGAATTGAAATGATTGTGGCAAACCATGGAAAAGAGTTGCACAACTCCCTTATGGAACAATAGTGTTAGTTTGCAGTTCCTAGAGGTATCTGGATTAAGCAGTACATTCCAAAATAAACATACTTATCAGTTTATTTGAAACTCTAACATAAGTTAATGCATATTTAATTTTTTTAGAGTTCGCTATCTTGATATAGTCATAATAATAGATTTTAGATATACATATGCAATAAATTGTATTGGCGTACATTGGTTGTATTTGGCATATTTAATGCTTTCAACTCCTGTTTGTTCAAATTTTATAAAATATAATGTTATATTTCACTTCGTACATAAATAAAAATTTAGTTAAATATTTTAAAAGAATATATATTTTGAAGTATAAACCTAATTTTAGTAATATGGAATGGAAGGAACAATTTGTCATTAAAAAATTTTATCTTTCTATTTATAGTATCTCACATATTGCATACTGAACTGAGAAGCAGCAATAAACTTTGTTTTAGTTTCAAATTAATATTTCCATATATACAAGAATGTAAAATAAGCTAAATCAACATGTAGCATCTTTGCAGATCAGGAGCGTAGCTAGAGGGGGGCAAGGGGGGCATCTGTCCCCGGGCGCAGAATCCAAGGGGCGCCAAACTGATGTTACGACATTTTAGAATTAAATGTTTTCCATCCTTGGCAAGCAGTAGGGGGCGCGAAATCTTCAGTTGTCCCTGGGCGCTGAAAACCCTAGCTACGACTCTGTTGCAGATGGCTTTGCATTTCGCCAGATATTTTTGTCAGTATGACTGCAGATTTTGATCCTTCCTATAGGCATTTTAGCATAGCAGTGAAGCGCATTCCACAGTTTTTGCCATTTTGAGCAAAATCTCTGACTTAAATTTCTGCACACATACAACACAATATGCCTTGTCTAAGGCTTAGTGGGCCCTTTTTCATTTTAGGATTTTGGTGCTGAGGTTATATGCAAAGCCAAATTTATGCAGCTCTGTGATGCTTTTTTGGGGAAAGTACAGAATCGCCCACTGCTTGGTGCATTTTTAAGAATTGCACATACTCGGTATCCATGTACACATCGACCTATTTTCACTTAAAAAAACATCCCAGAATTGCACAAAAATGGCATTGTGCACTCCCTTGACTTTATCCATGTACACATTGACCTATTTTCACTTAAAAAGAATATTGACAAAAATCCAATTTTTCTTACTCTTGTAAAAAGCGCCAATCAAATAAGTGGGCGATTCTGCACTTTAGCTGCTTTTTTAAGCAAAACTGGTTGCTATATACACAGGGAGAGCAAAAGTACAAAAGCAACAAGACGTGCATGTCTCATATGGAAAAAGAAGAATGTAAAAAAACAGGCAGCACTGGATGCATCACTGCAATAAACGTAAGCATCCCCAACCAAATGTTCCTCTCTAGTTTCGGGAATGAGTTTGCACATTTTGGTGGGGATGTGGATAGTCAGGAAGTACTGAGCAAACTTGTATGCTTTAATAATAAACTTAAAATAGTTTCATTTTCTCAATGCTTTGTAGTCATATATCTACTGTCAACTACCACCGTTCCAGTCGCATGTCTGCTCTTGGCCACCTCAGCAAAGAATCGTATTGATCTCATATCATATTAACTATATTAAGTAGAATGTTCGTTCAATGAAAATTAATTTTGAGCATAAATCATTTTTAACTTACAGTGTGTGAAAAACTTAACAACTGTGTGAAAATAAAAATTCTTCTGTATTTGATTTTATGTGATTTATTTTAATTAAATTGGTTGAAATTTTTGGTAGTTGGTTATGGTTACAGCAACATATATGATAACTATTCTTCCTGGAAAGGTTGTTCTTAGAGACGGCTTTGTAAGAGATATTGTTAGACATATTCTATTATCAAAGCTAGCATGCTATATATGTCAGCCAAACCGACAGTATATGTATATAGAGGGTGTACAGAACTGATAGGAGTTAAAGGTTGCTGGTGGTATGAGAGAGTAAAAGCACGGTGAGTATGAAAAACATGAAAATGGGGAGAAGTCATTTTAATCACAGATATTTACAAGAAATAGCGTCCTATATTTAAAAGAATTGTTCAAATGGATGCAATAATATATGCATTACAAGGACAATGGATCTCATTTACGAGATGCAGATCAACTCTCCTGTCATTAGAATAAGCATTGTTGCTGCTGAGGTATGTGACATGTATAGGGATCTTTCAAAGTGTATGCCATCATCATGATGTATGTATTGCGATTAATAATAGTTTATTTGAACAATTCTTCGAATATCAAACATTTTTCGTTAAACATCCATGATTAAAACAAAATTTTCCACTCCACATTCTTTGTACTTATGTTTCCACATTCTTTGTACTTATTATGTTACCACAACACACTGTATTATGAAAAGTGTAGCTTATGCGATGTATAAGTGTAATTTATATCATATACCTTAGAGTTGTGACTATTAATTTTGGCATACATAATATATACACTGATGGTAGGCTAAAAATCACTACTTGTTGAATGTTGAGTTAGTTATAAGTTACATAAGATTATCTAGTAGATGTTTTGCAAAATAAAATAGTTTAGTATTTTTTGTTTGTACTAGCTGATAAAAATAGAAAATGAGGCATACTACTTAGTTAAAAATGGTACAGTTATTCATTCAGTATAATGAACCGTAATATTAATTCTTAATCAACAAGTTGCTTTGTTCCTGAAGAAATTAATTTTATTAATAGTTTGACTTTTTTTCTGATTTTCATCTGCATTTTAGTTATGGTATGTATTCAGTTTTTGCAGTGCATTTAAAAATTTTTTTGAAATGGTCATGGATTTATTTTCTGTTCCTGGAATTGATGTTACATTTTAAAATTATGATACCAAAACTAGTTTCATCATTTTGCAAAAGACTTATATTCATACATGTGCTTATTACTTTATATACACAACAGGTTGCAATACCTGTTGTGTATATAATAATGTTGTGTATATAAAGTAATAAGTAAATGTTGTGTAATTTAAAAGTTGTTCATTTTTTATAATACAAGATGTTCATTTTAAAAGTGGACCCTTCATAAAAATGGTATGCATGCATATTTATGAAACATACCTTGTTTGTGTACATCATATGGTGGTTGGTTTATTTAATTACAACAAAGCACTTGAAGACTGTCTGCTTAAAGGAAGGGATGCCTTCCTGGAGGACTTAGTAAGGGAAACTTGCTCATATGCATATTGCACATGGGTAAAAACCACAAAAACACCCATGCAGCCAGCCCATTTTTCTGAATCGAACCCAGGTCAAACTATGAGTGTCCAATGACTTTATACCACTTGGCTGCTTATGAGCCACATTATACGTTAATACCGGTCAAAGTGCTGTATATATTCAAAATGAATATTAAATATTATATATTCAAAATGAATATTCATTTTGACAAAAAGAATATGTTAAAATGAAATAAAGTCAAAATGAATATAGTGGTAACAAATGGCTATAACTATTTAATGGAAAAGAATTTATCGATAAGAGTAA